CCTATATTATATCGTGATTGTAACTTAACAAGGGATAACTCCATTCCTTTTACAGTATGCCTGCAGTGGTTTCCAGTGCTTTTGTAGTCACAGGCCCTAGGGCCTCACTAAATGGTGGCAAAGAAATATCAGAGGGTTCAAGTGTTGCCATGTGCTTAGTTGTGGTTCTAAGGAGAATGTGCTTTCTACCAGACAGGCCAGCAAACTGAAGCATTGAGATATATTTTAAAGCAGCCAAAAAGTATTTATGACTTAAATTCAGATGTTAGTTCCAGATACATTAGACCCTTTGAATCAATGAGTGTTGAGATACTGAATTCCCATTCATGCAATTACACTAGCTCAAGAGGGGGCAAAGTGTGCCCCATGGCCTGCATGCAGCCCCTATGGCCACTTTTGTGCTCCCTCCAGGCCTCTCCTGGCAGGGTGACCAGATGTCCTCCTTTTCCAGGACATGTCCTACATTTCAACCTTCTGTCCAGAAGGAATTTCAAAATGTCTCCCAAGAGTACCTTATAGATATGTCCTAACAAGAAGGTCCAGATCTGTGCAATATGGTGCTCCAATGCCCATCCTCATCAGGTGGTCCAAAAGGATACCATCATCAATGGTATCAAAAGGCAGTGAGAGGACCACAAGAACTGGTAGAATTGGACTCCATCTGGTAGTCCCTGGAATAGGCTACCCACCAAAGCAACCAAAAGAGGCTCATGGCTGAGGTCCAGTTGAAATTGGTCCAGATAATAAAAATCATTTAAATGGGTCTGGCATTGCAAGGCCACCCTCATTTTGATCACCTTTGCCAAGAATTGAATGTCTTCAGTGGAGTTTTGTGGCTGGAAACATGCAACAGCAAAGCAGTCTGTCACATTTGGTAAACAAACTCCATGATCTTCAGAACTGGAACAGCAAAACTGAAGCTTTTGACCTTGGTATGTGTATGTGCCTTCAAGTCATGTATTGACTTATGGTGATTCCATGAATTTCATAGGGCTTTCTCAGGCAAGGAATGTTCAGAGGTGTTTTTGCCAGTTTCTTCCTCTAAAATATACCCTATAGCACTTGATATTCATTGGCAGTCTCCCATCCAAATATTAACCAGGTCTGATTCTACTCAGCTTCCCAGATTACACAGGGCGCTGAATCCTTTAGGATATTATGACCTTTGTCAGTGGACAAATGCAAATATCTTCACAGTAAAGGTATGAATATTTAAAAGAGCATTCACTTGGATGGAAAGAAGGATCACAGAATTTGATTACAACAGGAGATGGAATTATTTTAATAATGTTTGTTTTAATTGCTGCACTGTCCTACTCATTTTCAATACTCCTGTGTTTTGCTGTTAATTTCTATCACACTGTATTTAAATCACTGCCATAGAGATACAAGTATACCAGGGAAGATATTAAGGATTATTAGTTGCCATGAGGAGCTAAGTAATTCTGAATAGTCAGCATTTATCAACAGCCAGCATGGTGCAGTGGTCTGAATATTGAGCTAAAACTCTGGAGACCAGGGTTCAAATCCCTGCTTAGCCATGGGTGACCTTGGGCAAATCACACTCTCTCCACTTCAGAGGGAAGCAAAGGCAAATCCGTTCTGAAAAAATCTTGCCAAGAAAACCCTGTGACAGGTATACTTTAGGGTTGCCATAAATCAAAAACAATTTAAAGGCACACAGCAACAACATTGATTAGCATCTATTTTGTCAGAGAGGTTGGGGTCCTAATTCTCCAGGAGTAAGAGAACAGTTCACACAGATTCTTAGAGAATTATGATCTCTTTTTGGGGGGAGGAAATGTCTTTTCACGCCTGAACATGTATTACTTTTCACACAGTGATTAAGCTTCCAGAACTGGAGAATAAATCCTTTACCATGAAAGAAGCTATTGACTTCACTAATAAGCTGTGAAACTATTATCCTTAGTGAGAATATACGAGTGGGCTGCTAACAGAAGAGAAGTGGATTTGAGAAAGAGGAAACCTCTCCTGCCCCACTACAGGACCCTGTAATCCCACCCCACCAGCCAAAAAACCCTCCTCTGGAAGTGGTTTTCAGGCAGTGCCAAGGGCTGCAGAGAGGAAGAAAGTTCTGTTGCCCTTGTGCTTCACTGCCAGCGCAATGTTAGCTGTAGGCTTTAGCTTTTACCCTCATGTTCTGAAACATATTTGCAAGAATTCTAGGTTGTACATAAGGGGCATAGCAGTATATTTCAGCTTTCCCTATTATGTGAAATCCATCTCAAGTCCAATTACTGGCCAAAGACTCATTTATCCTGTTAAAATTTCACTTTTTAGCCTCATGTGGTAAAATCCTTAGTAGTTGTGACATGAGTGTCTCAAACTCAGTGCTAAAATACTGCTGTACACCCGTTGTTAGTCGTTCATGTATTCAATGCATATGCCAACATAATGCCTATGGAGATGGTCCTGTTTATTCCCCATGTATGGAAAAATGTCTTTTGCAGGAACAAGAATCAGGAGTCAGTCTCTAGCTGTAGGTCAGCAACAGCAAATCCCAAAAAGATCTTGCCAATGAGATTAAAGGTAGAATGATCTTTAAGATCAAAAAGTTCCACTTCTTTATTCTGTCTTCCTGCAGCACTCATGTCTCATTAACTAGCTAGGAGGGCTGTGAAGCTATTTTGTATCCTGAAAATAGGATCTTGTCTGATGAAATCTGTTTAGCATGTTGAGGATGTGGAAAGGAGGCCATGGAGTAAACAAGAAGCTTAAAAGGTGGGTTGCCAACATTTTCTTTGTAGAGCTTCTTTGCTTTTAACAACTTCCCATCACCTATTTTATTTCTGCATGGGATTAAAGAACATGTTGAGATTATTTTTCACTGAATTTCTTTTAATGTCAAACAAATGGCAAATGGGGGAAGATTACCTTTCCCCCCAAATATGATACAAAGTCTGATTTTCACTTCCCCCTCTTCCTTTATCCCAATGTCATCCTCCACAAACTTACATTCTTTCTATTCACAAACCTTTTGGCAACTGATTGACTGCCAACAAAGTAACTTTTAATGGGTGGATTGTTGTTGTTGTTGTTGTGTGGCTCCAAGTTATTTTTTACTTATGGCAACCCTATCATAGTTTGCAAGTTTTTTCAGAGGGAGTTAGCCATTGCCATCCTCTGAGGCTGAGAGAGTATGGGATGATGTACTTTACAAAAACCAACAGCTTTTAAATTTATTAAATTGAATTGTATGTTAACATTATAACATATTCATATTTTAATATAAGTCCTGGTGTTGTAAGCCATCCTGAGCCCCAGTTTCAGAGAAATGCAGGATATAAATAAAATAAACAAAATAAGTGGTAGGTTGGTCCTCTGTAACACAAAACATCATTTTATCTCTGCTCCATTACATATGGCTTGAGCAGGTCATTCTTTGTAAAGGTAACTTTCCAGATGTCCTTTTCTGCTTGGCTGGAAAAACTTGCCCTTTACTAAAGGCTTACTTACTACTTAACTATTCCCAGTTAGTGCCTGGGGCAGTTACTCACCTTTTGCATAAGAACAACTTCTATTACAATACATCTTTGGTAGGTGGTTTCAGAACCACTACTTTGATTTCTAGGATGAGAAGAAACCAAAAATCAGATCCATACAGTCTATAAGCCACTAACAATGAATGGCAGCTCTATCACTTGGAACCACCAGGAATCTTGCAAGCTGCTGGGTTTCCCTGCCTGGTTTGGTCTGCAAAGAAGAGAAGACAGTTGCCAAGTTTTTGCCAGAGGTCTCAACAGAGAGGCCAGCTGGGCTGCATTTGGTCTGGTTAGTTGCAATTTTTTTAGGCACACCATAAGCATTAATACCAACAAGAGGAACAGAATAAGATCTAACTTTGAGCCCATTCACACTGCATAATTATACTACTATGGTTCCATGGCAAATCCTATAGAATCCTGGGATTGGCAATTTGCATAGGAGCCTACAAAAATTTAAATATGGAGCAGGATGCTACCAATAT